ACTGACCCCAGTTTTGGCTCTCAACCACCTGTCTGAGCAACACTCCATCAACCTCTGTCTGTCCACAGATGTAAATCTTCAGGGCAGATCAGCTCCCGACATTTCCTGAGTCCATCCTCTCGTCAAAGAGCCAGCTCTTCCTCCTAGATGGCTTACTGCTGTTGATGCTCTCCTGCCTTCTAATTAGCCATTTGGGCCTTGTCTTACTATTTTCCTCCACTTTATCTACTACTTTTTTTTTTGGTCAAAAACTTGGGTTTTTGAATTGGATAATTAATTTATTTGTAACCTTCATGACTTAATGTAAAAATTTGAAAGTAGGACTTCTCTGAAAATGGCTTTCGTTTCATTCCTTAAGTTTGTTAAGTAGTGTTATCACAATTGATCATTTGTCAAACATCTATAATTTCAGGCTTTTTTTTTTCTGGGGCGTGTGAGGAACTTAGGTTCTTATATACTCTTGCTCAGTCTGCATGCTTGGCTGGCACTCTACCACTTGAGCATGCTTCTAGCCCGGCATTTTGCTATTTGGGAAATAGAATCTTTCAGACTTTTCTGCCCTATCTGGCTTGGAATCACAATCTTCTGGACCTCAGCCCCTTGAGTAGCTAGGATTGCAAGTGTGAGCCCCTGGCACCTGGCCAGCTTTCAATCTTTGTCAAACACTAGAACCTAAATCCATCTATTAGCATCAAGAGTAGAAAAGTTCTCCTCATCCAGGTAAGATGAAAGCCTTTAGCACACTTTTTGCTTGCCTCTTCCTTTGCTTTCCTATTTTCTACTTTAGTTGAAATACAGGACATTTTAGTACCACACGGTTACCATCTTATTTATCTTTCCGGAGCAGCCTTTCTAAACATTTATGAAATTTATATGCAAGTTCCAACCCACTTGTTGGCTGTGACCAGACTTTAACCAGTTCCATTGATCACAATAATTGTTTTCTCTAACACATCTTCTTCCTTCTTGAATTATTTGACCTAATCAATTACCCATTTGGCTGGAATGCTTAATCAAGCACACACACACACACACTTACACACACACACACACACACGAAAAACAATTTCTCCCCAGGTTCTGAGTCTGAGTGTGTGGAGGCTGTTCTGGGATCCTCTCCAGTGCCTCATGTACTAGATGCCCAAGGCTTGCCTGTCCTGCAGCCCCAGCCCCTCGGCTTGCTGCCTCTCTACTGAGCTGGTTCCTTTTCAAGTCCTGTGGCCGCACCCAGAGGTTTAGGATAGGCCGGATTATAGAAACCAGAAATGTTGGAGGATCTTGTCCTCTCGCTTCCATTCCGGTTTGTTTTTGACGTTTACTTTTTTGTTGTTGTTGTAGAGGGATATGCACGCCCCCAAATTCTCAGAGTATAAAAGAGAACACAGTAATGTTTCCCAGCGCTGCCCAGCCCACGCCACCCATAACCGCGGTCCCCAGCATCCTTTCTTTGCAGGTGGGTCCTGTGTGTCCACGACTGCGTGGAAAGACACACACACAGAGCACCCTGAACACACATCCTCACTTCTTGGTATGTAACAATCTGTGAACCCCTGTCATTTCTTTGAGGTGCTGGGGATGGAACCAGGATTCGCGCATGCTAGGCAAGCACTCTATCACCCCAACCTCATTCTAAAAACTGAGACATGCCAGGTGCTCGTGGCTCCCAGTTGTAATTTGAACTACTCAGGAGGCTGAGATCTGAGGTTCACAGTTCAAAGCCAGCCAGAGCAGGAAAGTCCATGAGACTCTTATCTCCAATTAACTAACCCAATAAAACCTAAAGTGGAGCTGTGACTCAAGTGGTAGAGTGTTGAGCAAAAGAAGCTCAGGAACAGTGCCCAGGCTCTGAGTTCAAGCCCCCAGATTGACAGGCATGTACAAAATCGAAGACATAATATTTGCCTTTTTTTTGTGGTACACATTATGACAATTCAATGCTATGTGAAAATGAATGAACATTCATTGAATCAGGGTAATGAAAATTTCCATCTCCACAGACATCAGTTATTTCTGTGTGGTGGGATTTTGTTCTTTTAGCACTTGGAAACGCTAGAATTCTTTTAGGCAGCAGTGCCCTACTATGCTAAAGAAGATCTAGAAAGGTCTCCTCTCCGACTGCAACGTTTTCCTGTCCCTCACGGAACGTTGTTCTGTCACCTCACTTTCCACTGGCCTCACAGCATTCTAGAGTTGGACTGTCCCTTATGGTCCTTACCGATTCTCTATGGTTATAGCAGAAGGCACTGAGAGTCATAAAGGAAAACCACCATCCTTCCTCGGGACGAGAGGGGTTGGATTCTACCCCTGCCTGGCTTCAGCTGGGAGGAGGGGAAGAGAGGAAGGAGAAGGGAGCAGGACGGGGAGGAAGGGCAGAGGAGAGAGAGGAGAAGACGCACCCTCTTACAAGTCTTCTGCTCCTGTGTGACGTGAACCACCCAGTTCATGCAAGGAGTCTCAGGAAGGTTCCAGCACACAGGGAAGAAAACTTAGGACACAGGGTCACCCAAAGCCATGTGTGTTCCACTTTGCTGTGAGGTGTGATTATTCTTTTTCCCCTCAGGAGACAGCATCCTATTTTTCTAGCTTCTAGACCCTTCCAGGTCCCACTTCGATGGCAGTCAGAGGAACACTCACTCCTTCAGCAGAGGAGTTCCCCACCCCCACCCCTGCCAACCCCTGGAAAACCAGAGCTGCTGGGGGAGGAATCCCAACTTAGCATTTCGCCAGGATCAGAAGCCTTGAGTCTCCAGTTTGCAGAGACCAACGGAGCAGAGCTGGGCCCCATTCTAAGGAGCAGAAAACAGACCCGTTGTTCAGTGGGAGGCGGGTGTTTCCTGATGCAGGCTGACCAACGAGGCCACCCTCAGACTCTTGACCTGCACTGAGCCAATGCTGGGATCCGCGTTCTCAAGCTCTCCAGTTTTAGTAGGTTCTGGTCATGTGACTCACGGCCCTGAAATACTGTGGGGCCCCTTTGAATTCTTAAAGCAATGTGCAGACCACCTGTGCTGGGGTCTTTTAAAGAGCAGCTTTAGGTTCACAACAAAACTGAAGGCAAGTGCAGACTTCCCGTGTATACACCGGTGTCTGGCCTCTTCCCTGCCCAACCTCCTACCATGCAGTAGATTTGATACTACTCAATCTAAGCAGGCTGGCCACCACTGACACCCAGAGTCACGCCAGGGTCTGCTCCGGGCATTAAGCATCCTTTGGGGTTGGATAAATGCATGGCTACCATCCATCCCCGGAGAGTAGTGCTCCCCGAGACCCCTGTGAGCTCCACTCACAGATCCCCATCCCTCCAGCCCCTCCCAGGGCACTGTCCATCTTCTTTGTCTTCTAGATCGCCATTTGCAGGACCGCGTGTTCTGTATGCAGAACACTGTGCGCATCATATCATGTGTCTCCCTTCCAGGTTGCTCCTTCCATTAGTAACGTGCTCTGTGTGCTTTGACTACTGTTCCATCCACACTCACTCCTTCATTCAATCTTTTAGCCATTCAGCCCGTACCTGGCTCACCTGCCGCCCCCTGCAGTGGAAGCAGCGCAGACACAGCCCTGCTTCCACTCCAAAACCCAGAGCCCCTGGCACTGTCCTCAGGGCTCTCCCTGACCGGAAGTTGCCCAGATGAGAGAGAAATAGACTCGCTGTCACCCTTCCATGCCATGACTCTGGGTGTCAGTGGCCAGCCAGTCACGGTGTTAGCATGCCCACACAGCCCACGACCCTTCGCGGGGTCCCCTCGGCCTGTGTCTGCCCCATTCGGTCTCATTGGAAGTCCTCACCCTCACGGTGTAGGCTCAGCCAACCATCTGCACCTCCTCCTAAGAGTGCGACGCGCTCTCTAGACACTGAGCTAAGGGGTTGTGAGGAGTTGGCCCGCTCCTGACTCAGTTTCTCCATCTGTACTGGGGGGGGGCTTCCAAACTACGAGTTGTGGGGGCTTTTGCAATGCATGAGGGTGAGGCCCAAAGTTCAGGCCAGGAGCTGCACGAGGCTCTGGGGTCCCTCTGGTGGGGGCAAGTGCACGCTCACTTCATCTCCAACTCCACCTGGGCTGGGGGAATGGGCAAATCCTCTTCCCAGCTCCAGGGCTCACAACCCCGGTGTCCTCCAGCCCCTGCTACCCGGCTCAGAGGGCACAAGACGATGTTTCTCCAGGGCCCCTAGTGAGGGCCGTGCCAATGGCACCCTGGTCTCCCGCAGGGCAGGCGTAGGGGCGAGGCTGGCTGGGCACCTCTTCCTGTGGGTGACTCAGGGACGCGATCCAGCCTGCCCAGAGGAGCCAGCCGCCCGCTGCCCGTCCACTCCGTCCAGGCTCCCAGATCCACCCCTGCTCCACACCTCTAGTAACGGCACCAGCTACATGCCTGGCACTTGGGGGGGGTGGGAGACCCCCTCTAATGTGGCACAAAGAGGAGCTGCGGGGTCTTCTTTGTGACCCAGGACCTGGCACAAATACCTTGTCTGGTAATGTCACCCCTAGGGGTGAGTGGAGCTGAGACTCTAACCCAGGGCAGCACCCTCTACTGCCCTCCACCACGAAGTAGGAAGAGGTCAGGAGGGTCTCAAAGCTCGATTGGAATCAAGCCCACACTGGGCTCGAACCCTGCTCCCCAGCGGAGCAGAGAACTTTGCTCAGGCTCAGAGAGGTCTCACAGCGTGCCCCGTGTCACCCAGGATGCAGGGTGACCAGTGTGATGGGAAGTTGGGTCTGGAGACTGCATCCCACGCCTGCCTGCCTCTGCTGGTGCCAACCAGAGACGCCCGGCCACCCCAGCTCCACACAACTCAGATCCCCAAGCGGCTCACTCCATCCTCGGTCGAGGAGAGGCCGACGCAGCTCCTACTTTCTTGCGGATCTACAGAAGGAAGGGAGCTTTCCTGGACTCCCCCGTACCATGGAACCCCGGCCACCTGAGTTCTCCCCAAGCTGGGACCGCCTGTCCTCACGGCAGAGGCAGCGAGGGGGCTGGATCAGCCCCTGCCCGGCACCCACCTGGTCAGGAGTGCGCTGCCTGGTGCTTGGAGCTTCCGGGCTCCGAGTCCCCTCCAGCCGTCTGCGGTCCCCACCCCTCAGAGGGGCCCAGGAGCCGAGCTGGGCTGGCAGTGGGAACGGCTCATCTTTCAAGGGCTGGGCTGTGATGTCATCGCCCTCCTCCAGGGCGCGTCCTCCGGCCCAGCTCCCCACGCCTGCCCCTGCCTGGAGCCTGGCTGGCGTCACTTTCTGGAACCCCCGCTGCACGGTCCAGGCCCGGATGGCGACGGCTGTCCTGAGAAGGCCACCTGTCTTGGGGACACTGTTGGAGGTTGGGGGGGGACTCCCAAGAATGTCCTGTTGTGCAGGAGAGGCCGGGGTCAGCAAAAATATCCCCACAAAGTGGCCCCCAAGGGTCACGCGCTTACACGTGTCCTGTCTCAGGAGCAGCATTGGTGGCTGGTCTTCAGTTCCTCCCCGCAGGGGGTTGTTTTGAATCTGAGTTTTAGGTGTAAACAGTGGACCTGCACGAGAGGGTGTGAGGAGGAGGAGGAGGAGGCAGGCTGCGGAGGGGCAGGGGAGGTTCTGACAGAGTTTGTGTTGTGTTGTGTTGTCCAGGGGTGACAGGGAGGGTATGCGGCCATCTTTCTTGTTCTCTTGTGCCCTGGGTCTGGGTCTACACCTGCCACCCGCCCCCGAAGCACGGGTGTCTCTTTGGAAATATTTATGTGTAGTTTTCCTCCATCTCCACACGGGTTTTTCTGGTTCTTCTGAAGATGTATTAACTCTCCCCATAGTTCTCCCAGGCAGGGAGCTGGAAATCGCTGCATAGCTTAGACTTCTCCTCCTCTTCCTCCTCCTCTCTCTTCTTCTTCCTCCTCCACCTCCTCCTCCACCACCTCCTCCAAATCTTCCAAATCCTCTAAATCCTCCTCCTCCTCCTCCTCGTCCTCACCCCTCCTCTTCCTTTTCTTCTTCCTTCTTCTTCTTTGGCAGAACTAGGGTATTTTTTTTTTTGTTTTAAAATTGTTATTATGAAGGTGATGTACCGAGAGGTTACAGTTACCTAAGTCAGGTGATGAGTGCATTTCTTTTTGAACAGTGTCACCATCTCTCTTGTTTTCTCCCAGTTTTTCCCCTCCCGTAAGAACAAGGGTTTGAACTCAGGTCTTTGTGCCTGCTAAGCATGTGCTCTACTGCTCTACTGCTTGACCATGCCTCCAGCTCTTTTTGCTCTGGTTATTTTTGACATAAGTTCTTACGGTGTGCCTGGGCCAGCCTTGGACATGATCCTCCTATTTACTTCTGGGATGATGGCTGTGATCTACTGTACTGAGGTTTTTCTGTTGAGCTGGGGGTCTTGTGAACTTGTTTTGTACAGGCTGGCGTTGAACCTGATCCCTGCCTCTTAAGTAACCATGATGACAGGCATGAGCCACCAGTGTTTGGTCCTTTTTTTGTTTTGTTTTTTTTTTTTAGAACTCTTTTTGAAAAGAGTAAGAGCAGCTGGGAGGAGCTAGGAATTGAAGGCCAGCGGCCTACCGGCCTCCTCACTTTCCCTTTCAAGTCTACAGAGCCATCAACTCCAGTCGCAGGCAGAGTCCCAGGAAGGATATCAGGATTGAGCCTTCCAGTCAGGGAGGGCTGGTGGTCGCTGTCATCTCCTCTGCCCTCTGGCCCTCCTGACTGCATCGGGGACCCATTGGTCTGGGGAGGATGGAAGCATGCGGCCAGGCTCTCCAGAGCCCATGAGCTCTCAAAAGTACTCTGCAGCCTGCTCTGCTCGTGTGCAGCAGACTGCAGCCTTTGTAACAGCACAGCAGGGGTCTGTGATGGCAGCCATCTCTCCTCAAGATCTGCAAGAACAGAGGGCTTCCAAGTCTCCTCTGCCCTGGGCATTGTGCAGCTCTGCAAGTATGAGGGCTAACTCTGGAGATGTAAGCGCTCTGTGGATGCTTCAGAAACACCATTGGCTGAGCAAACTCCAAGAGATATACCCTCCTGTCTTCTCACATCGCCACCCCGCCCTCTCTGTAATACAGTTTAAAAAGCAACAATAATAAAACCCGCTGTCCTGATCCAGTTGGCAAGTGCCGGCTGAGAGCCAGTCAGCTCTGGAACAGCTCAGTAAGTCCACATTCCAGCCACCTCCCTTATGCCATTCTCCATACACCTGCCCCAAATGCTTTAGGGCCTGGAACTGGTCACAGCCCTGTGATCCAGAGCTCAGGAAGTGTCCAAACTAGCCAGGCCCCAGGGAACAAGCGTGGGAAACCCAGGCTCCAGCCTGCATCTACCCATTCCTTCTCCATCCATGTCCACACATCCATATTCATGCTCCACATCCACATACCCCTCCCCCATCCCTCCCTCCCTCCCTCCCTTCTTTCCTTCCTTCCTTGCTTGCTTCCTTCCTTTCTTTGACCCACCTATCTACCCAGTCACCTATCAGACACCCACTTGGCTAGGTGGTGTGCCTGCAGGCAGAATCAATGAATGAGCACCCATGCTGGTCCCCTGCCTAAGGTCAGGACCAAGAGGTGGTATTTTTTTTTGTTTTGTTTTTCTTTTTGGTGGTGTTGTTCCAGTCCTGGGGCTTGAACTCAGGACCTAGATGCTGTCCCTGAGCTTTTTGTTGTTGTGGTTTTGCTCAAAGTTAACGCTCTACCACAGCTCCACTATGGCTTTTTTGAAGTTTTATTGGAGATAAGACAGAGTCTCATGGACTTTCCTGCCTGGGCTAGCTTTGAACTGAGATCCTCAGACCTCTGTCTCCTGAGTAGCTGGGATGGCAGGCCGAGTCACCAGTGCCCGGCTGTGGCCGTATTGCTGAAGTTCTCCTGGGGGCTTGGTAAGGACCCGCATTTCTCCATCTGTGGTCTTCAGCTCACCTTCTGCCCTTCTTTCTCATTGAGAAAATGTGGCTTCCTGTGGCCCAGCTGTGGCCGCTCCTGCTCCTGCCCCTCACCCCTCGCTCTGCTAGTCTGGGGTCTGGGTGGGCTCAGCTCGGCCCTCCCACACCCCTGGTTCCAGCTGCTCAGTTACATTCTGGGAGGACCAGAGGAAGGATCCATTGTCATTGTGGAAGCACACTGTCCCCCTCCTCAGCCAGGGCCATGCTGGACGGTGCGGGGAGTCTGACCCCTCCCCGCTCTCCCCTCTGGCCAGCACTTTCTCTGCCTTGGTGTGCCTCCTCCCAGGAGGCCCCGAGCTTCTCTTGGGCTGGGGCCCTGTCCTGTGTGCACTCATCAGCCTGCACACTCCTGCCCAGGCGAGGTGGGGTCTCCTTTGTGGGCTGAGAAACCTACAAGGCAGCGAGGGAACCTGTCTTAATTGCTTCTTACCACGTGCACATAGCAGGTACTCTGTGTGTGGAATGGAGACATAACCTGAACACAGCAGGTGCTCAGTGCATAGAATGAACTCATTGCCTGCACACAGTAGGTGCTCAGTGTGTGGAATGAACTCATTGCCTGCACATAGTAGGCGCTCAGTGTGTGGAATGAAGATGACACCCAGGCTACCCAGCCTCACTAGAGTGAAGAAAAAGCAAACAAAACAGCACGCCACAAAGCAGGCGGTGGACATGCTTTCTATGAAAGTCCGCCTCGATTCCATGTTCTGGAACGTTTCAGAGGCTCTGTGTGGGGCAGAGAGGCCCAAAACCTTCCAGGAGTGGGCTGTGCTTTTGTCCAGAACTCCACGATCCCGTCCAGCCTTGCCCGGTTACACATCTCAGACAGCGCAGGCTTGGGAAGCCGCATGGCAGAGATGGAAAGCAGACACCGGTTTGGGCTCAGAGCAGATTTGCAGAGCCTGTGGTCGGCCTGACGGGCACCAGGGATACACCTAGGAACCCCAGAGATCACACCAGCTCCACGGCACCTCCCAGCGTGCCTGGCACGGCCTGGGCCTCCCCTGGCTACCCCTGGACCAGCCCTGTCTAAGCACACAATTCCTCAGACTCTCATAACAACAGTCTCACTCCCACTTTACAGATGAGGAAACCGAGGCTGAGAGAGGCTACTTTGCTTGACCTAAATCCTAAAGACTGTAAAGGGTCGCACTGAGATCTAAGCCCAAGTCTGGCTCCTTAGCCCCATCAAAGGGGACTAAAGAGGGAAGGGGGAGGTGAGACACGAAGGCCCGTCTCTCTTGTCTGTCCGTCTGTCCTGCTGTTCTGGAGGACTGTGGAGACTAGTCCTGTGTGTGGGGTGGAATAGGGTCTTGATGGCCCCCCAGGTTTGTGGGGAAGTCACCCTCCGCCTGACCATCAGCATGACTGCTCTTAACAACTCTGTTCTTGGCCTTGAGCTGTCACTGGTAGATGGAGAGAGGCCGTTACTCACTTCCTGGTGCAGGCGCCAGCCGGGGGAGGTTCTCATGCGGTGATGGGTGGACCCTGTTCCTGGCATGCTGCATGCCCCTCTCCTGAGACTGACGGCTAAGCCGGACTCCTAGGAGCTGGCACCCAAGCTTGGACCCTTCCCATGACCCCAGCACCAGCCCCCCTCCCCCCACAGCAGCCTGACCACTGACCCACAGCCCTGGAGGCTCTGTCTCCTTCCTCTTCTCCATCAGAGAGCTGAGCATCAGGGAAGCAAGGAGTGGAGTGAGATACTCCAAGGTCTCAGGAGCCTGGATCAGGGGAGGCAGGAATAATCAGATGAAATGTTCAGGGATGGGAAGTGGGGGCTGGAAAGATCTAAAACCGCTCTTACCCTCTTCCAAATATTCATGTGTCATCCTTCACCAGACTGGGGTGGGGGTGGGCTGGGGCGGGCTGGGTGCTGCCCAGGGGTGACAGTAGGGACACCTTGGTCCTGTGTGAGCTTCTGCAATCTGGCCACACCTGTCTGTCTGTCTGTCTGTCTGTCTGTCTGTCTGTCTGTCTACTGGTCCACCCCTTCCCCAGGAATGTTGGTAAATCTATTTCAGCCAAGTGGCGCATTCGGCCCTCACTAGATTCTTCCTCTCCTTTCCCCAAGGGCCCACAGCCTGCCTCACAAGCCTAGGCCCTGAGTTCAAATCCCACTACTTCCTCTTTTTTTTTTTTAATAAGTGTTGGGATTCACATATTGAAACTATCCATT